CATACAAATTAGGGGGCTGTTTCACAATCTGATCCATTTCTATAAAGACATTTTTAGTAATCAGAATTGTATTGCTCGTGGCCAAAAGCCTCAACTTTCAGGAAGCACATGATGAAAAATAGCTCTAATATTCTGTATTTGTAGAAGCTGTCTTCTTAAAGGAAGGAAGGACTTTAAAATTTTTTCAATTAATAAAAGTAAAAACAAAATCAGCATAATTGAGTGTATCCACCTTTTTATAGCAGGAGGACATTTGGTTTTTTCCCCTGGAGTATAAAACGCTCACAGCTCTGCAAACACTCTCTCCTGATCATGTGACCTGGCACTGGTCTTCAGGCTCAGCTCCTAACACTAGAGGATGGCCTACCCAAATTTTGTCAAATGGCCAGGTATCCTGTTCCACCACCATTCTGCAGCAGTAATCAGGGGCATTGAAGACACAGGGAGATTTTTAAGAAATGAAATAGAGAATTGTCTCACTAAAAGTGGTATTTCAAAAAAGCTAATCTAGTAGATCTAAAGAGAATTCCTTAGAGCCATGATGGGAGGCTGGAACCTGGGATGCCAGGACAGGCACATGTGGTGTGGAGAGGAGAGGTGGACCTGTATACAGACAGTGAGAGGAGAGAAAAACAAACTCTGCTGAGGCGCAAGTGGAAGTTAAGATGAGTTGGACGCTACGGCAGTGTGAGTTAAACAGAGCCATGAACTCTGACTGTTTAAGTGAAGGCATCCATGAGTGGGGACCATTGAGGATATTGGGAAGCGGGCCTGGGAGACGAGCGAGGCAAAGAAGTCCATGGATTCAGGCTCAGCCCCGTTGCTTCTACAGAGCCAGCCACAAAATTCCTTCTGCAGGCAATTTCACTGACCGCTTGAGGGCGCTTCTGTATGCCCTGCAGCACACCGATGTCTAGGAGGCTGTGGCTGCCCTGAGGCCAGGATGCAGATAACGAGGGCTCTGGTGGGGACTGACCTCCTCTGCCTTCAGCAAAAACAGGTTGAAATGCTGACCGTCTTCTCCCACCTTTAAAGCAGCCTGGTCCAAACGGAGGGTGGGGCTACATGTCCGCCAAGGAGAGCTCATTCTTTAGAAGCCGTCAATTCGGCAATCCCATATGGGAACTTTTGTTTAAAACACTCAATGATGGCTTATTTTGCAGTTTGTATCTGATTCGGTTTCTTATTCCAAACGTAAGGAGATTCCAGGACTCCTGTTTGGGATGCCACCCCACCTCTCTTTGCTGCTATAATTGCTGTGCGGTGTTTAAGATTCCAATGTGCTAGTCTTTCTCTGCTCTCGACCGCCAGGTTCCTTGAGCATCCTTCTTGCTATGCGCGAAGAACTCCTGGAAGGATCTCGTGTGCATTTTCTTTTCTTTCTCGTGTCTCAACCAAAAAGTAGGACTCTGAAAACCCAAAATAGCTGAGGACATGTTGTGGAGTTGGGGGTGATATTGCACCATTGGAGCTGGGCAAGTGATCTTTTCTCTGAATTCTTGTCCCCCCAGACCTTTATATTATGTACTGCCTCTAGCCAGAAGTGGAAAGGGTCTATAATTTGTTTAAATGTCTAATCTGGCGTTCAAAATTCTCCTTT